AAACTCTGCCAGACACAACCCTCCCGTCAGCTGCTCAACGTAACAGCCAACCAGTCATACTTAAGAACAAGTGAGAGCAATAATATAAGTGTAAAGTGAGCGTCATGGCCCCAACACAGCACCACACGAACAGCATCAGTGGCAGTTGCACCAGCATCAAGGATATGCTTGATCACTGGGGCCAGAGATCCACCTTGATGAACGACTGTCAAGAGAATCTGACAGAGGCAGGCCAGGCAGTCACTCTCTCAGAGGACGAGCATCACCACCAGGTAAACAAACAGTTCGTGTGTCATGAATATAAACAATCTCCTACTCATTATGTATCCAACGCTATCACTCTTCTTAGTACTCTGATATTTATTAGATGGTGTTTACTCTCACGACAGGTGGTGTTGGATGTTCGTGATTACATGAGGGAAGGCGTGAAGATTGACGTGGTTGACGGGAACCAGTTGGTGGTGGAGGGCAGTGTTGGGCAGCGGCAGGAGGGCTCACCAATTTCCGAGAAGAGTTTCCGACGTCGGTTCTCCTTTCCTAATCTCGCCAGGATAGAGACCGTGACCTCCACCATGTCCCCTGACGGTGTCCTTAAAGTTATTGTGCCCAAGAGGAAGGTTGTTGATGTAACCGATCTATAGAGGCACACTGAGGCTGGTCGGCGTGTATTAAAAAAAATCGATTCTCATGAAAAAAAAAACGAATCTAGTGGAGGTAGAAGGTCGCGTGGAGAAGCAAGAGGGAGAATTAAAGTCGAACAAGAGCTTCTGTCGTCGCTTTAATCTTCCTGGCGTGGTGAACTTGGACACCATCACCTCTGCCATATCTTCGGACGGCGTCCTCACTATCAGGGCGCCTAAAACCTCGGGGGACGCTAGTGTGAGGACGGCATCCCGGGAGGAGAGGACGCTGCATCGTCAGGACACCAGTGAGGCCAGTAGCGAGGGGCGTGACGGCTACACCCCGGCCTCACACAACTCATCTGGTGACTAAGAGAGATTTTATTCACCACACGGAAATATACTTCAGAAGTTTCATGTATATACTAGTGTATATATTTTGTAAATATTCACAGCTGTATATTTTCTTAAGATAAATAAATATTGATATGTATTATTTTTCTCACCTTTATCTTATGTTTACCTAAGTTATATATACGAACATCGAGATTACGGCTTCGATCTTTATATAGATGTAATAACTCGGTGTTGACAGTGAGTGGAGACGTCTGGTAGTGTTCATATATAGTCTACTCATATGTTTGACGTGTGTGTTGCCTCACGACCAACAGCCACCAACAGAACCATTAAGCATTAAGTTAACTGTCAGGTGAAGTCTCTACTCAGCCATCATCTTACACGGATAGATGTGTTAAACTCCTGAGCTTAATAGTTGTTATATTTAAAAGAGTCATGTTCACCCTCGTCACACAACATAATATAATGCCGCTAGACAGTTATAGAATGTGTGTGAGACGCCCGCACCCTCTCTCCCACACTTTGAACTATTATTACGCTCCTCGCGCCCCCTGTTAACATTTGGTGCCGCGACCACACACCTCCACAACTCACCCACTCACCAGCTATGCTCAGAATAAGAATCCGGAGAAGGAAAAGTGCCGTCAGGTTGAGTAGGTGATTGTCAACCAAAACCACCACTTAGGGAGAGACTGGTCCTTCTAAGTCTAAAGTTTAGGGTCATTAAAACACAAAGAAAAATTATTACAAATTATTATTTCATTAGACTTTAGAATAAATATGAACTTAACACGTTCAAGAGGTTATTTCTAACATATTCGCTAAACTGTTAGTCTGAAAAAAAATATCACACTTATCTCCAATTTTACATTCTAATATAAAGGAGAAAAGTAAATTGTTCTTTTTTTTTGTATAAGAAAGAAATCCTACCTGACCATAGGCACACACCCACCACTGGACGGTCAGGACGTAATGGCCCTATTCTAAGTCCTGTCCCTCAACCCTTCATCAAATTCCCAACAAAAGTGACAATTTTGTTTCGGAAAGGAGTGGAAACAGTGACGAAAGTCGGTGGAATTAACGCTGAAAAGTAACATCTGAGAGTTATGGTCAAGCTAACCCACACACTCACAAGATCCTCGGATGCCCAAAGAGACACGCCCATCTCCAGCTGACCGTGAAGCTGAGGCTCACCTAGTCCACACTGAGCGAGCGAGTGAGGACCATACTATGTGGTGTCTCCAGGACATTACGATAATGAAAGAGCCCATATGGGGTCCTTCATGACGCCACCTGTTAATGGGTTATTGCATCAGGTGTTCGCTGCTCAACACTTCAGCACATCTGGCCTACCTGACCTCATACAAAAGACCATAGGACCAGCCCCCATCATTCACTGTCAACAATAGATTATATGTTCATGTTCCTTTTCCTTAATTAATGCAAGTGTCCACTGTGGATCTACATGAAATATGGAACTCACACGTCTGTCCCACGCTCGGTCCTTATAAGCCTCTCTCAGTCTCTGTAAATTCAGTCGCCTTGAAGATGTCGTGAATTAGGCTAAGATGGCCACGGAGAGACCTAGTCAGACAATAGGTAGAGCAGACAGCCAGTTATGAAGGATGAGGCACTATGGAGAGAGACAGTCTGTCAACAAGAGACCTTTACCTTTGACCCGTGTGACCACCGCCCGTGACCCAACTTGGACTTACATAAGAACATAAGAACATAAGAAAATAAGGAGTCTGCAATAGGCCGGTTGGCCTGTGCATGGCAGCTCCTGTCGAGAGTTACTACCACTCTCTATCATCCATGAATCTATCTAGCCTCCTTTTGAAACTTTCCAGCGTCCCAGCACTTACTACAAAGTTGCTAAGCTTGTTCCTCTCGTCTACCACCCTATTTGTGAACCAGTTTCTTCCTATCTCCCTCCTAAACCTAAACTTATCCAACTGAATCCGTTGCTCCGAGTCCTATCCTGCTCGGATATTATAAGAACTTTATCTATATCCCCTTTATTGATTCCTTTCACCCACTTAAATACTTCTATCATATCTCCCCGCACTCTTAGTCTTTCTAGGGAATGCAAGTTAAGTTTCTTTAACCTATCCTGATATGGAAGGTTTCTAAGTCCCGGAATCATTTTTGTCATTCTTCGCTGCACCGACTCTGGTGAATTTATATGCATTCTATAATAGGGGCACCAGAACTGAACCGCATAATCGAGGTGCGGCCTGACTAGCGCAAGATATAGTTGCAATAAGACCTCTGCACTCTTATTACTTACACTTCTAGATATAAAACCCAATACTCTGTTTGCCTTATTTCGAACATTAACGCACTGTTTTCTAGGCCGTAGGTCCGGGCTTACAAGTACCCTAGTCTCTTTCACAAGTCGACTTCTCTAGGTTGATGTTGTTAAGGCTGTATACATTACATATTTGTTCTTCCAATATTAAGTACGCTGCACTTGCTGGTGTTGAATTTCATTTGCCATTTTTCAGACCACCCCTGCAGTTTATTTAGATCCTCCTGTAATGCATTTGCATCCTGCCCTGAATTAATTTGCCGCCCTATTTTGGTGTCATCCGCAAACTTGCTTATGTCACTGCTGATCCCAGTATCTAGATCGTTTATGTAGATTATGAACAAGAGTGGGCCTAGTACTGACCCCTGGGGAACCCCACTGGTTACACAGTCCCATTCAGATTTAACACCATCTACGCTGACCCTCTGCGTTCTATCGGTGAGCCATGATTATATCCAATTTAAAACTTTCCCCTCGATACCATGAGCCTTAATTTTACTCAGAAGCCTATGATGCGGTACTCTGTCAAATGCTTTGCTAAAGTCTAAGTAAATAACATAGTAATTTTCGTCATTATCTACTACCTCGAAGACTTTCCTAAAAAACGTTAATGCCCAACTGACCCACTGCCACATAACAGCTAATCCATCTAACAGACCGCACCCAACTTGGCCCGTAAACTAGTTGAAATGTTTATATTGTTGACTATTTATACCTGTTTCACTGCGGGCCACATTAAATACAATTTCTCATTCACTCTGCGGGCCGTACACAGAACTGGTTTGGGCCGCGGGTTGCCCAGGCCAGCTGTATGGAATATCATTTCTATCGATTTTTTTTCTCAACCTTTTGGCTACTGTACCTTTTTCAAAAACCTTTATTATTATTATTATTATTATTATTATTATTATTATTATTATTATTATTATTATTATTATTATTATTACTATGTTTATTTGTTCTCTTACTATTACCATGACTGTCTATGGGTGCAGCTTATCATCCTCTCTGACCCAAAGGTACAACATTTCTTCTTTGGTCCACCAGTATAAACCATCTTTCCTCTGCATAATTCATCCTTCTTCATGGCATTTTGGTAAACTGCATTCCCCGGTCTTCCTATCAACATACATTACTATTAATATACCAGTATATCTTACGCCTAAATTATACTCTCATTTTATTTTCTTCTTCTTTATCCTTTACCGTCACTCTATCTTATCCTTCCCACTACGACAACACCACCAGCCAAACAGCCTCCTGACGCAGTAGTAGGAGAGGAAGGCCCACGACGACAGCACCACCAGCCAGAAGACGAACACATCCAACATTATGTACTGGATGAAGTTGAGTCTCTTGCCAGCGTACACCAGGAGGGGGGATCCTTGATGACGGATGGCGTGCTCCACCCACCACACGGCCCTCTCCCCAGCGCTCTCCTTCTGGTCCTGCAGCATCCTTGAGACATCCTTCACTCTCTCACGGTATCTGTGGGAGATGGTAACTGTTTGATTCCCTCATAGGTAGTGATAAGACCAAGTGAGTGGTAATTGTTCCTTTACAACGATAAGATGTTCTCCTGAGTGTTGTACATTATCGGAAACGTTTTAGTATTCACATTATTGGGGATCAGTTTGGTGTTGTGTTTTGTGCTGAGTTAAAGTAAACACACACAGAAACGTTCTACCAGAAACTTAACATTAATACAGACACTAAGACGCGAGGCTAAGCCCTACATACAGAACTAAGAAGCAACAGACACACAGATGAAGGCAGAAGATACGGACACTAAGATGGTGAAACTGTGAAGGTAAGAGGAGAAGCAAAGACTGTTAGAGAAAGAGAGACAAGTCATCACACGAGAGACACAGTGCCTTACGTCGGGTCCCTGAGGAGCGTCTCGACTCCGTTCAGGATGGCGTCGACACTCAGGTCCTTCCAGTTGAGGAGATAAGCGTATCCATTCTTGGCAAGACGGTGGGCATTACGGGGCTGGTCGTGGGCGATGGGGAGGGCGAGGACTGGCACGGCGTGGTAGAGTGCCTCCTGAATGCCCAAGTTACCACAGTGAGAGATGAACACTCGCGTCCTCCTGTGACCTGCAACAATACAGTTATCAAGGAGAAGGACGCCGACGAAGGACTTATTGTGTTAATGTTGACTGGTGGATGTTTATGTGGCGCAGCACCACGTGATCAGCGTCAGAGACATTTCCGACCGTCTTATTAACGAGTAAAGTAAGAATGGCGTCAAGGAATTTTGTTCATCACATTTTATCGATTTCTTCTGTATATCAAGAACATAAATCGAACCCATGTTCTACTGTGAACTGGAGTAACAAATAACTCCACAGTTCAGGAGTAGAACAACACCAGTAACAGTCATAGTAATTATCGTAGTGAAAATAATGTCTAAAGTTACTGTTTACAACAATATTTTGGGGAGTAAACTACCCGTGACTCGCCACACCTCACAACTCTACCTACGTGAGAGGTAAGTACCTATCTGTTAATGATGACAACAAGGTAAGTAAATTGTTGGAATATATGAACCAGGATAAAGGTATAGAAGACTGGAGTGTTTTGTACAGCAGCTCAAAGATTAAGACGCAGTAAACCTGTTGTGTGAGTACAGGAGGTAGAGGTAGAGGTAGAGGCTGGAGGGACCAAATGGGGTCTGAGAAAAACAGGATAAAGACGCGCTGTAAGAGACGACTTGTTGTAGAGGTGACTTGTGGTGTTTCGCTGGCAAGAGACTCAGTGACTGGAGAGACAGAGAAAGAGACGGTCGGTCTGGTATAGAGATGTTCTCTTACAGGGAGAAGTGTATAATATTATGCCAAACTTTTACCCACAACACTTGGCAAGATTTGAAGAAGGACAGTGAAAGATTATCAAGATAGTTTAAGGAGAAGTATGAACTCTGTTTCAAGGAGAATATTAACCAAAACTATTGAGGAGACAAGATAAGGCTGTTGTGAAGAGCGAGTTATGACAGACGTGTATAGGAGGCCTAAGGGTTACAAAGTTAAGGACATGGCTGAGTTAATGGCTCGTTCCACTCATTTAGACTTGGGTTACTGTTTGTTTCATCGTCTCGTAGCCTCACCTAGTACATCCTGTTGGGGGAGCCACTTCCTGGTGAGGACGTTGGCGGGGAGATCCAGGTCATCATCCTCGTACTTCCACAAGACCCGCTGAGGGAGCCGTCTGAACGCCTCCACCAGTATTATCTGTTGACATGGATGGAGGATGTTATCTGTATCACTGTCAGGTACTACGAGGTCCTCCACTACACTGCCAGTTAGCTCCTACAGTGTCCACGTCTACATAGTCAATCATTACACTACTAACTAACTCATCAAAGAGTCAACCACAACGGTCTAGATTACGCTGCAGCAAGAAACTTATCAATATGGAACTTCACAACTTTCAGTAGATTATGTAAACACATTTTTCACTTCTATTACATAAATCTTTAATAATTTTAATGTTATCTCGATACTAAAAGCCTACAACACCTTACCTTGTATCCGTGTGGGATCTGACCACTCTTGACCACACTACCAAGGCTGAAGACGATGACCCCGGCCTCCCCAGCTCCCTCCATGAACTCCTCCAGATCCTGCGCGACAGATGGAGATCAGACGAGGCCTCCGGGAGCTGATCTCTTAAAGATTCCCTAAGTTAATGTTTCCCACTAACTGAGGTAGTCGAGAGCCTCATTGTTACGGCACAAACACAGGGAATTTTTAACTCCTCTTCGGGCAAGTTTACGTAATTGTTATAATGATGTAAACGACTTTTGGCTTCTCTCACTTTGAGGTAAAATTAAAGGTAGTAATATATAGGAGCAGGACGCGGGTGATTGGTTATGGACTATGAAGGGATTATTGGGTGTATGGTTATAACTTCATCTGGGGTTTCTGTGGCAGGGATATGATGTAAGTAGGATTTTAGAGGCAGACTTGCGGCTTAGGTAAGGGAACAGAACAAAGATTGTGATTTGAAAAACTTTCGTGAGACATATTGAGGAGATTCTTGTCCCGTCAATATGTCAATGATTGTTGGTCCAATTGAGATAAGAAGTGAAAGTGACTTTTATGTTTATTTATATGCAAGAGTTAAGAGTCACTTTTGTCTGACATTCACTGATATTTACAGGTAAAATTCTGAGTCCTGTAGAAATTAAGAATTCTTTTAGCATCTGATAAACAAAATAGAAGATTTTTGATGGCCCGGACAGGTAAGACTGACTCAGTGTGATCCAGTACAAAAGGTAACAATGGTGAGTGTCTGGGCTACTCTACAGCCAGGAACCTTATAGCACCATCTCAATTTATCCTGAATCGCGGCTCTGCAATTTCTTATGGCTATTCGGGTCATTTTGACTCGACGAAGTTTATTGTGTAAGTATTTATTTATATATTTATTTTTATTTTTATATAGTTTTTTTTTTACAAATGGTGATATGAGTGAAAGAGGAAACAGTAATGGGCCCCTGTCTCATCAGCAGAACATATTATATAAATGGGTTACTTACATCTGATATTATATTCAGATTCACCACCCTGTAACTTTCCGCTAGCTATGAGGTGACATGTTCAATGCACGTGATAAGGTGTGCCCACGGGAAGCTGCGTCATACTATGCTGAGTAAAGACATAAGTAGCCGGCTCTCTGGCCACCTGAAGCGAGCAGTAGTTTGATATCCTTGACTAGAGGAAGACGTTATTTGAGAGCCGCAGTGGATGGCTCCGTCTTCCCTTGAGGGGGAACGACGTACCCATACCGTTCTCCCTCGATGGGTCACTACTCATGAGTCACTCACAGCAACTTATATCGTAAGGACGTGACCTAACGTTTCTATTACATAAACGCCGTCCCTTTCTCATTCACTCATATACAGTGGAACTTACTGTCGATCTACACTCAAGAATTATAGATACAATCTTTTTATAATAAAACAAGGAACTACAGTTTGGGTTTCGTTACTTAAACCCAAATAATAAATATATGTGAACGGCCTGGTTAATTGGACAATCCAGCCGATTCAAAACCACCTTTTCTGGGGACCAGGTTTAACCTAGAGTTTTAACCTATAGAGGTCAACTTACATTGTATCATAAGAGGGTTACGCCTCCCAGCCACCGCTGACCGCCTGGGTGCCACGCACTACACTACAGGATGACCAAACATATATTGCGCACATTGTGAAACAAAGTGTAATAGTGACTTCACATCAGTGTCAGTGAGCTATGACCATGTGTAAAGTGGCTTTTGTGAGTAGTGCAGTGATCAATGTGACAGCTGCTGGCACTCCAGTGCCCCTACACTTATGGCTATATTCCACGCACGTGGTACCGTCGTAAAAGCCCCTCGATCATGGTATATACGGTCAAGTTTTGCCACCCCACCATGTCTGAGTCGACCGCTGAGGTCACTGCTGATCATTCCCCAGAACAGCAGCAACGAGAGAGTTATGCAATCAACAGGGATTCTGACCTTGAATATGACACGGGCGCCATGGAGGGATACCAAGTAGCCTAACCAGTACTTGCCCAGTACATGCCCAGTACTTGCCCAGTACATGCCCAGTACTTGCCCAGTACCTGCCCAGCACATGTCCAGTACTTGCCCAGTACATGCCCAGTACTTATCCAGGACTTGCCCAGTACTTACCCAGTACATGCCCAGTACATGCCCAGTACTTGCCCAGTACATGCCCAGTACTTGCCCAGTACATGCCCAGTACTTGCCCAGTACAGCACATGTCCAGTACTTGCCCAGTACATGCCCAGTACTTATCCAGGACTTGCCCAGTACTTACCCAGTACATGCCCAGTACTTCCCAACAGTGTATAGCAGAAACGTGACCGTCCTCCAAAGCGGCAAGCAAGCTGATCAGTGGTAAAGAGCAGGGGTCACCAAACTACGGCCCGCGGGCCGGATCCCAAGTCCTTCCCCGGCTCGTGGTAGCTCCGCCTACGCTCTGACGTTACCAGAGCTTTCGTTCTGGCTTGCAAGTATTGAACAGAATGATTATGCGGCCCGCGCTCGTCATTCTTTCAGTTATCCGGCCCACTGTGAAAAAAGTTTGGTGACCCCTGGTGAAGAGGATAAAGCTAAGTGTAATCCCAGAAGCAGCAGAAGTTACAACGTGCAGCGAGGCAACGTGACCAACAATTATCCTCTTCTTCCCAAAAGAGCTCACCTAGACCTCCCTGACGCCACGCCAACCACTGACAAATATGCCTGGTCACAGGAGGCAACAGCGAGACACCCTCAGTTTTCACTCAGAGTTCACACACAGGGATCTGTTATGCTGAAGAATAACCCAGACATCCTAAGTAACTTTGTCAACAATGAACTATGCAACACCCACCATTGACATCAAACAGGACTACCATAATAATCAAAGGACTCGACCAGTTCCAAGACCCTGTAATGGTCGAACAAGATGAGAACATTACAAGGCGGCTCAGAGGCAAGAATGCCGTCATAGCTGATTGGATAGGACCCACCCAGGACTCTCACTGTCCTTGGTGCTTACCGTTATCTAAAAGTAGACATCTATCAGCCTCCATCCCAGAGATGTTACAAATGTCAGCTATGGGGCCGTGTGGCTCGTGTCTGCTCTTCTCAGAGACGGTGGTGTGGTTTCTGTGTACGGCCACACACGACAAAGATCTGCAGGTGAAACTGGACCAAAAAACTGCATCAACTGTAAGACTGATGGAGTCCCTGCATGACACTACAACTGCCCTCAAGCTCCCCCCTCAGCGACCATCTAGGCAGGTGTCAGGCAGCTCTACTACTATAGGGGAGCCACCTAGGAACACCTCCTGGTTCACCCGCACCACCACACATAACCGACCGGTACCAGCCGTTAACAGCAGACCCATATGGAGTGACACAGACACATAGCTACAAGAGGAAGTTATCAACGCTCCCACTGAAGACACAAGCAACGTAGTTAACGCTGCCACGGGAAATGACATACAACAGCTTAAAGATCAACTGGCCAAACATAAGTGGCACGGGCAATCCTCATTGGAGGTTCACGGAGCCATCAGCTCGATGAACAGGCTTTGTGTGAAATATAACAAAGTCTAGGATTGCTTTTAGTGTCCTTGTGGCATGGTGGTAGCGTTCCCTGGTCACACGCAATAGGTCGAGGGATCGAGTCCTGGCTGGTGAGGTTGTTGATTTTAAGTTGAAAGTCCGCGTGCTATATGGACTAAATGAAATATATATGTATATATATATATATATATATATATATATATATATATATATATATATATATATATATATATATATATATATATATATATATATATATATATATATATATATATACTGAGTGGGAGCGTGACGCCACCCTCGAATTTTTTTAATACGTCCACATTCAAAGCCATGACACAGTGTACCGGCACGTACTGTAGTGGTGTCTGGAACTGGTGGCGACTAGAAGGGTTGTTGATGTAACCAATATTCACTCACTCTGGAAGTACTGCCATTTACGGAACTTTTTGATCACTCCTCACACACACACACACACACACACACACACACACTGTAATTGACAGAAGAGACCACCACAAAAAAAGGGGGGGGGGGATTGGCTGTACCTGAGGGAGTGGGCTGGCCTTCTTGGCATTGATGGTGCCCACCTCCACCTGTGTGGGCAGCAGTGGTACAGGTCCGTCCACGGCGTAGTGGCTGTTAATGAGGGTCAGGGAGCTGTTCCAGTAGAGTGTGGTAAGAGGAGGCAAATTAGGGAAGAACTCCTGCAGCAGTTCCTGGAAGCGGGGCATCACATTATACTGGTACCAGAGGTAAGGCCACAGGGTGAGTAGTGGGTTAAGAACTCTCTCCATGAAGGTCATGTCATGGGTGAACGTCGTGACAATTCCTGGCACGACGGACATGGGCAGCCAGTTGCCTTGCTCCTTCATGTGCAAAGGTTCTATCCCTGGAGTGCAGAGATTGATGTGCGCACCTTTGTAATCCAGGAGAAATGGTACAGCCACCTCATTGACAAAGCCAATTATTACTATGGCTTGGTAACTGTCCCTCTGTTGCCATAGTCGTTGTATTGCCTCGTTAGACCACATCCTCCTGCCGGTTTCTCCAGCAATTTCCAGAATTTTCACATGATTCAGCATGGTGTTATGTCCCAACGCAAAAGAATTAACCTCTAATAAGTCGGCGCCAGTGTGGACTTCCGTCACATTTTCGTGTCTGAGAATAACAGTCAAGAGAGAGAGGGGGTTAGTCATGCAGGAAATGATGGTTCATGATGTTATAATGTAAGTTAATGAAGTATGACTGTCATGAGTGACTGACTTAAATAATGTAGACGCTAGAAGAAGAGACTTGTGAAATTCCCTCCCTTTTCATGTCTTTCCATCTACCAATAACTTATATCTCTTTAAATGTATTACACTTACCAACTTCTTATCAATAACAATATCCTTCAAATAACATGCTAACATTTGTACAGTTGTCACCATTTATACCTGGCATGTTTTGTGAGATGTGGCACCACTGTTTGTTTACATCGTAATAAAATTAGCAGAACTACAGTAACCAGACCAAGGATAAGTAAGCTGCCCCCAACCCCATCTGGCCATTTTCTGGATGGCTATAGTTTTAATATACATTACCAGGTACAACGTTATGGGCTCCTATCTGTTGTCTCGTGGGCGGTGGTGCCACATCTCACAAAACACGCCAAACACTGTACCAGTTATAAATGGAGGCAACTGTACCTTAATTTGTCTATCACAACATTAATAAAAACCCACAAAACACCTCAGGCAATCAGAGCACCGTCCTGGTATCTGAGGGTTGGCGACCACAGTCCTCCACTCAAAATATTCTCAGGCTGTTGTTACCAATCTTCCAAGGTTTTGTATCTCTCTGGGGACCAAGTTTTAATTTCATTCACCCATCCAAGTCTCTGCCCTCCCCTGGCCCTCCTACCATCAACGTTGCCATTTGATATTTGTTATTATTACCCCATCCATAATTATATAACCAAAATATTGTATCTCATTTATCATTTTCTGTATATTTCAAGTATTTCTCTTCAAGTTTTTTGCTCATCTCAATACTGTTCGTTTGTTTTCATGTCAGTGCTGGTCATTCTTAACATTCGCCTATAACACTAAGTAATTATTATCAACAAAATTCTGCGTTTTTTTTTACATTAATTACTAAACTCCTTTTGTATTACAATAACAGGTATAATATGTTAGAAAAATAAAACGAATCAGAACCAGTTTTAGAAATATGTAACTATATACAAAAGATGACGTCGAGTTGTACAGAATAATATTGACCACAAGTAAATCGTTTGTCTCTTATTTTAATATGTAATTTAATGCTCGGATGGCAAGTTCATTGGTTCTTTCCTGCTAAAACCAGTACATATTTAAGGAATGATTTGTTTTATATAGGAGAGAGCGAGGGGAGAGAGGCTAATTCACTAATCCAGCCTATCCAAGTTAGTGGCAGTTAATTTATATTCATTAGTTATGCTCGCAGCTCCAATGTTTGTAAACAATCAACAGTTTTCCGTTATTATAAACACACAACTATAATACAAACTTTAAATCCTTTTCTCTGACTTTTTACGCCCGCAACGAGATATAATGTTTAGTGATTGACTATAAAGATAACGGTATTATTGGCAATATCCCGGCGTGGCTACTGGAAACATTTACCTAAAGGAATGTTCAGGTCTCCAGCACTTACTTGGACGATGCATCATAGGAGGACACTAGGGTGACGGAGTGGCCAGCGTCACCCAGAGCCACTGAGAGTGACCAACACAGATTATAGACGCTGCGAGTGGCTACTGGAGTGAGCACAAGCACCTGGTAGCCTGTTGCTGGGCCACACATCATCACCAGCAGTAGGAACAACATACTACACCTCCTCATACTGACTACGGTGGCACTACACACACTCTACCGTCCCTGTAGGTGAAGACAGTTAGTTACACTCATACAGTTATAGTTATACAGATGTTAAGTCACTGAGGGACCCCAGCCATCAGTGTCAAGTAGGAAGGCACTGGCAGGTTCACGTAGACAGGGCAGAGATACATTTGATGACCTTTTTGTCTCTGTTTCCCGCCTTTTGTGGATTTTATCGTTGCCAAATAGTTTATTACAACGTATAGAACTTACTATAAAAACTTAAACAACATCCATATCTCTCCCGGCTCACTGAACCAAACTCTCACATCAGACCACTAACGATGAAATAAGTACTTTGAGGTGAGCCACGAAAAGTTTATATAATAATAGTTAATGTGGAACTTAATTTGGCTATTACTGTATACTAGTCTTAAACTTTTTGACACATTTATTTATGTTATTATATTACATTTCATAAATCTTCATATATCAACAATAACACAAACAATAACATTACTCCAACTAAGAAATTATGCTCGTCTACCAACACACATGAAGGTGTGACAACAGGAACTTATCATGTATTACGGAAGTTTAGGTGAAATATTTAAGTTAGCGAACAATGGTGTTGTTTCGGCTCCCTCTGTGTTCCTGAGAGAGAGAGAGAGAGGGAGAGAGAGACGTTCTCCCCAGAAACTATTCACTGACGGTAAAGGATAGCAGAGAACTCTCAGTTGACCTTCTCGCTCTAAATCCAAACTGGGAGTCTGTAAAGATGTTATTGGCATTGCAGAAGGAATTTAGTCTACTACATGATAACTGCTCCAGTATCTTACTCAAGGCTGGGAGGACTGATATGGGGCGATAATTCTTGAAGATCTATGTCCCCCAGATTTTTTATATAATGGATGAACTTTAGCAAAATATTTGGTGAGTCTTGTCTCAGTACAAAATTAGTGTTGTTGTTATAGAGCGTCACGTTCACTCTGGCTATTATTTTTTTTCTTGTTGATTTATCCAGCCTCGTGTTTTTACGTGTTTACTTGTTAGTGCTGAGACACGTTTGCCTACTCTGTACATAATGTAATGAGTGTGTACTTTTAAACACCTCTGCTGACACTGTTCTCAACAGGCTGGGCCACATCATATTCTAATTGTAATATACTGTATTAAACCAATGACTGTAACCAATGAAATAATTTAATAATATACCGTATAATGCCACGTAAAACACACGTGATTGGCTCGTGATGAGTGAACCATCATTTCTCAGTGATAACAGTTAGTTATGTAACTACAGGTGATGTTTTATCATGTTTATCTGTGCTTCAACACTTGATGTCTTTAAGGACGTCAGCTTTATCATTTCCCAGTCAATTGAGTTTTTATCTTTCTTTCTCAGAGATAAATTGTTCTGATCTTGAGTTCTATTGGTCTTAGAGTCTCACCTACACTCTTGTTATTGTCAGCTGCCCACACACACACGTACACAACAAGGTATATATATATATATATATATATATATATATATATATATATATATATATATATATATATATATATATATATATATATATATATATATATATATATATATAGAGGAGGGTGAGATCAAGTCCACAATGGTCAGGTATTAGGTAATGACCCTACTAATCTCCAAAAAGCACCACAGCAGTCGGTAGGCACTACATAACATCGTCTACAGCCCAAGGCAATAAACCACTACATAACATCGTCTACAGCCCAAGGCAATAAACCACTACATAACATCGTCTACAGCCTAAGGCAATAAACCACTACATAACATCGTCTACAGCCCAAGGCAATAAACCACTACATAACATCGTCTACAGCTTAAGGCAATAAACCACTACATAACATCGTCTACAGCCCAAGGCAATAAACCACTACATAACATCGTCTACAGCTTAAGGCAATAAACCACTACATAACATCGTCTACAGCCCAAGGCAATAAACTAATAACATCGTCTATAGCCTAAGGCAATAAACCACTACATAACATCGTCTACAGCCCAAGGCAATAAACCACTACATAACATCGTCTACAGCCTAAGGCAATAAACCACTACATAACATCGTCTACAGCTTAAGGCAATAAACCACTACATAACATCGTCTACAGCCCAAGGCAATAAACCACTACATAACATCGTCTACAGCTTAAGGCAATAAACCACTACATAACATCGTCTACAGCCCAAGGCAATAAACCACTACATAACATCGTCTACAGCTTAAGGCAATAAACCACTACATAACATCGTCTACAGCCTGGCTACAATAAAACCACTACATAATAACATCGTCTATAGCCCAAGGCAATAAACCACTACATAACATCGTCTATAGCCTAAGGCACAAACCACTACATAACATCGTCTATAGCCTGCGTACAAACCACTACATAACATCGTCTGGCCAGCCCAAGGCAATAAACCACTACATAACATCGTCTACAGCTTACAAGTAATAAACCACTACATAACATCGTCTACAGCCCAAGGCAATAAAACCACTACATAACATCAGTTCATAGCCTAAGGCAATAAACCACTGGCTACATAACATCGTCTATAGCCCAAGGCAATAAACCACTACATAACATCGTCTATAGCCTAAGGCAATAAACCACTACATAACATCGTCTACAGCCCAAGGCAATAAAACCACCATAACATCGTCTATGCGCCTAAGGCAATAAACCACTACATAACATCGTCTGGCAGCCCAAGGCAATAAACCACTACATAACATCGTCTATAGCCCAAGGCAATAAAACCATCACATAACATCGTCTATAGCCTAAGTAAACCACTACATAACATCGTCTATAGCCTGGGCGCAATAAACCACTACATAACATCGTCTATAGCCTAAGGCACAAACCATCACTACATAACATCGTCTACAGCCCAAGGCAATAAATCACTACATAAGATCGTCTATGCAGCCCAAGGCAATAAACCACTACATAACATCGCCCACAGCCCAAGGCAATAAAACCACTACTATTAACATCGTCTATAGCCCAAGGCAATAAACCACTACATAACATCGCCCATAGCCTAAGTGGCAATAAACCACTACATAACATCGTCTATAGCCCAAGGCAATAAAACCACTACATAATAATATCGTCTATGCAGCCTAAGGCAATAAACCACTACATAACATCGTCTACAGCCCAAGGCAATAAACCACTACATAACATCGTCTATAGCCTAAGGCAATAAACCACTACATAACATCGTCTATAGCCTAAGGCAATAAACCACTACATAACATCGTTCACAAGCCCAAGGCAATAAACCACTACATAATATCGTCTACAGCCCAAGGCAATAAACCATCACATAACATCGTCTATAGCCTAAGGCAATAAACCACTAAGCAGAACATCGTCTGCTCCAAGGCACAAAAACCACTACATAACATCGTCTATAGCTCTAAGGCAATAAACCACTACATAACATCGCCCAGCCCAAGGCAATAAACCACTACATAACATCGTCTACAGCCCAAGGCAATAAACCACCAGGCGATAACACTGCCCAGCAGCTTAAGGCAATAAACCACTACATAACACTTCGCGTCTTTACAGCCCGCGCAATAAACCACTACATAACATCGTCTATAGCCTAAGGCAATAAACCACTACATAACATCGTCTACAGCCCAAGGCAATAAAAACCACTACATAACATCGTCTATAGCCCACAGTAAATAAAACCACTACATAACATCGTCTACAGCCCAAGGCAATAAAACCACTACATAACATCGTGTACAGCCCAAGGCAATAAACCACTCACATAACATCGTCTACAGCTTAAGGCAATAAACCACTACATAACATCGTCTACAGCCCAAGGCAATAAACCACTACATAACATCGCCTACAGCTTAAGGCAATAAACCACTACATAACATCGTCTACAGCCCAAGGCAATAAACCATCATATAACATCGTCTATAGCCTAAGGCAATAAACCACTACATAACATCGTCTATAGCCTAAGGCAATAAACCACTACATAACATCGTCTATAGCCTAAGGCACAAACCACTACATAACATCGTTCACAGCCCAAGGCAATAAACCACTATATAACACGTCTACAGCTTAAGTACAAACCACTACATAACATCGTCTACAGCCCAAGGCAATAAACCACTACATAACATCGTCTAGCCTAAGGCAATAAACCACTACATAACATCGTCTATAGCCTAAGGCAATAAAACCACTACATAACATCGTCTATAGCCTAAGGCACAAAACCACTACATAACATCGTCTACAGCCCAAGGCACAACCACTACATAACATCGTCTATAGCCTAAGGCAATAAACCACTACATAACATCGCCCACAGCCCAAGCGCACAAACCACTACATAACATCGTCTATAGCCCAAGGCAATAAACCATACAACATAACATCGTCTATAGCCTAAGGCAATAACAAACCACTACATAATATCGTCTATAGCCTAAGGCAATAAACCACTACATAACATCGTCTATAGCCTAAGGCAATAAACCACTACATAACATCGTCTACAGCCCAAGGCAATAAATCACTACATAACATCGTCTATATAGCCTAAGGCAATAAACCACTACATAACACGTCTACAGCCCAAGGCAATAAACCACTACATAACATCGTCTATAGCCCAAGGCAATAAACCACTACATAACATCGTCTATAGCCTAAGGCACAAACCACTACATAACATCGTCTATAGCCTAAGGCACAAAACCACTACATAACATCGTCTATAGCCTAAGGCAATAAACCACTACAACATCGTCTACAGCCCAAGGCAATAAACCACTACATAACATCGTCTATAGCCTAAGGCAATAAACCACTACATAACATCGTCTATAGCCTAAGGCAATAAAAACCACTACATAACATCGTCTACAGCCCAAGGCAATAAACCACTACATAACATCGTCTACAGCCCAAGGCAATAAACCATCATATAACATCGTCTATAGCCTAAGGCAATAAACCACTACATAACATCGTCTACAGCCCAAGGCAATAAACCACTACATAACATCGTCTATAGCAATAAACCACTACATAACATCGTCTACAGCCCAAGGCAATAAACCACTACATAACATCGTCTACAGCCCAAGGCAATAAACCACTACATAACATCGTCTACAGCCTAAGGCAATAAACCACTACATAACATCGTCTATAGCAAGGCAATAAACCACGACATAACATCGTCTATAGCCCAAGGCAATAAACCACTAACATCGTCTACAGCCCAAGGCAATAAACCACTACATAACATCGTCTATAGCCTAAGGCAATAAACCACTACATAACATCGTCTATAGCCTAAGGCAATAAACCACTACATAACATCGTCTATAGCCTAAGGCAATAAACCACTACATAACATCGTCTATAGCCTAAGGCAATAAACCACTACATAACATCGTCTATAGCCTAAGGCAATAAACCACTACATAACATCGTCTACAGCTTAAGGCAATAAACCACTACATAACATCGTCTACAGCCCAAGGCAATAAACCACTACATAACATCGTCTATAGCCTAAGGCAATAAACCACTACATAACATCGTCTACAGCCTAAGGCAATAAACCACTACATAACATCGTCTACAGCCTAAGGCAATAAACCACTACATAACATCGTCTACAGCTTAAGGCAATAAACCACTACAT